GAGGGCCCCTCTTGCCTCCCCGCTGCGAGCAGACCGAGGAAACGTGCGTGCCCGTGCCCCGGAGCGACCAGGGAGCCGAGCCCGCGGCCGGAGCCTAGCAGCCGGGCTTACCCGTGGCAGAACCGAGCCCTCCAGCCGGTGCCCGGGGGGCTGCGGGAGGCCAGAGGCACCAGCGACTGTGCCAGAGCAACCAGAGGGTGGGGGGCTCTCTCTTCAGGTTCCCCTTCTGTTTTCTTTCTTCCAAAACTGCAACAAAGCAAAAGCCCAAGGAGTAAACAACACCCTAGCATTTCACAGAACGACGGGTGGAAGGCCTGCTTGGGGAAGGTTGATGGAGCTGTAAGGCTACCAATATTTAACTGCAGGATCAAATTAAAGCAGTGCAGTAAGATCCAGAAGTCCTCTGAGCAATTAGAAGGATGCTAAGCTACCTTTTGCATCTTTCAGAGTACTCTGTGCTGTGCCCAGACATGTAATTGTTGCTGACAGTGCAAGGCGCTGACCCTTTCTTTAGCACCCATGTGTCACTGAATACAGGCATGGGGCTGGCTGACAGAGAAAAAAAAAAAAAAAAACCCAAACTGATGCCTTTTCTGTGTTACTTACCTGGTCTTTGCTTGTACCAAACACAGTGCAAGCTCCTTGTTAATTACAGATAGAGGAAAAATAAAACCTTGGGTTTGTTTAAACATTTGTGTAGTAAGCACTGCTGATAAAATTGTGTCTCAAGCCTTAACGACATTCCTGCAACAAACTATAATTTGGGTTGGAAGCATTACCCTTGCAATCTGAAGAGAAGTTTTAGTTTCTAAAATATTTACTCCAAGTTTCCTACTACGAATAGTCAGTACAAGTCTGAAATGAAGGTATGTTCTGGAGAATGACCTAATGAACCAAAACTTGCTTATTTCCCAGAGCATGTAAGTATTTGTATACACGAATGAGAGGTCTAAAGAACCCTGGAAGGATGTTACATAGTCCCTGACATCTAAATTGTGATGACAGAGGAGCTCTAGCCCAAGTTTTCAGTTCTAAAACTTGCTTATCATGAATTAGCTGTGGCAAAGCAACACAAAGATCAGAAAGAGCCTTGCCGGGCCGTTTCACACCTCCGGGTCTTGCCACTTGCTGCCATCTCAGAACAGCTACAGCAATACTGCAAGCAAGGGGTTTTGATCTGAAAGCCAAAGAGAATGATCACATCTTTGGGAATACAGCCCTTTTCCCAGCCATTTTCCAATCAGCTCCTGCTCCGCGCTTAGAATGAGACACCTTCAGTTTTTGTAAGCAAAGAAAATCTGCAAAGAGAGTTTAGACCAGGGGCATTTAAACAAAGTCTCCTTCAGATTTTCACTCAGAGAAGTCAAAAGACTGGACCCCTCATCAAAACTCCGTGCTGGCATATCCTCCTCACAAAAGGAGGACAGGTGCTGAAGCTACAGAAACCACAACACATTTTCCTATGGAAATTCGTATTTGTGCACTGCTAGAGAATGCACAGCATTTCCATGTAGCAAATTTGATTAATTTATTCAAGCTTGCATCAACTGAAAGAACAGACATCATAATTACAAAGTGGTACCTTTTTTTTTTTTATTAGTACAGACCATATAAGATGCATAGCTTTTGCAATGAAAAATCATGTCCATGCTCTAAGACATTGGATTAATGGAAGGTCTTCAATGTCTGCCTTGGGCAGAGGGGCAAACTTCACAGTGTAAACTGATAATATAGGGATGACCTTACAGCATTATTCATGAAACTCCCTGTTGATAGTCAGACAAAAATTGGCAATAATTAAATAGGATGTGTTTAACTGGAGAATAGTTTCAAGTATTCAAGTACTTAGTTTTTTTGGTTGTTTAAAACCATCTGCTTCCCCTGCTCCCCCCACTCCTTCCCAAAGAGGCACCAACCACATGGGTGAGGCTAAAGAATGCTTTTTTGCAAGACATCTGAAGTTCTCCTAATGCAGAGATGACTTCCCAGAAGCAGGAGCGGTTTTTCTTATTGCAATAGACAGTGGTAGGAATAATTTTACCTTTGTGAACGTTACAAATACATTGTTTTGTTTGAAAGTAATAAGTTATTACAAGAGAATTTGAAGAAAGTTTTACGTTACTTGTAGGAATGGGCAATGAAAGACGACGACAGTCTCACCACTGCGTAATTCTCCTCTGACAAACGTGGAAGAATGTACCTAAACCATTTTGTACTTGGGCAGGCAAGGGCAGCCCCCACACATTAATCCTAGCTAGAGAGAGACCTTATGAACTCTCCGATGAGACGCCGTTTCACCTATTTCCGTGGTTTAGCAGCAATCAGGTACTGACTTTGTCCACAAAGTCTACAAAGCGTCCGAGGCAGTCACCAGTTCAAACCACTGTCTGAGTGCATCACTGAGAGTTTCTGGAAGCGCATTCACATCTCTAAGGATCATGTAGAACGGGAATGGGAATTCCTCCATGTAAGATCTGATTTCAGGCAATTCTCCAGGTCCTTTGAATATCGGTACTTTAATGTCCAAAATGGAATCCTATAAAAAAGAACAGATAGGAGGACTACTAAACCACAGGCATCTTTTACAGGCCCTTGATACTATTTGTCGTATTTTTCAAGTACTTGCAATTCCTCCTCTGTTACATTAAAAGTTAACAGAGAGTTTTAAGATTAAAAGCCGTAAGCGTTCAGTAGTAAGTCAAATAAAAAGCTGAACACAAAGCAAATAAAAAGCTGAACACAAAGCAGTTAAATGCTTCTGCCCTTTCAGATAAAAGTCCTCTGATCAACGAATTACAGGCTAGAAGAGACTAATCTTAAGCTTCTGCAATAGCAAGTTCTAGAAATAAATCCTGTCTTTCCTTAGTATTTTATGAGCCAAGCTTACTGTTATCACTTGAGTTTTATTTATACATTTGATGCCTTTCTGGCACACTGTCATCTATAAGCTCTTCAGGGCCAAGAGTTCAGCTTGCGTATCTGCAGTCATTAACACAACAAGATTCTTTAGCATGTCATGTTATGATATTTCAACAAGTACTACAACAACAAAAATCGGATTAAACCCCAGCTGTGCGTCTTGTAAAGTAACTTTTTTGGTGCTCAGTGTAGCAGCTCAGAAAATTAACAAAGCTTATAAAAAATGCACTTCACTGCCCACAATTTTCGCTTGACATTATAGCTAGGTTTCATCAGAACCTTCTAACAGTTTGTCAGCAAAAGAATTGTTAATTTTCCAACAACAAATACAGCAGATGAGTTTTGTATGGAAAAATAAAGGAAGACAACATGAACTACAAAATTAGAGTCTTCACCTAATTCAAAGTAAGGCTTAAGTTCGCTCACTTACTGCACTGCAGAGCTTCTCTGAAAAGCTCCTGGATACTTCAGCTTCCCAGCTAAGGAAATCTAACAGTTTTCTTTCACAGCCACCAAATACAGTACCCAGCTTTCCCAACCTAGGCACTAAATCACTCTCATATACTTCTCTCTGTCCAATGTTCAGTCTCATACTGGCTCCAGCTGCCACATCAAACGGAGACTGCTGTCAGAAATTATCAATTTGAATCAAAACTGAGATGACAAACAAAGCATTTCTCAAACTTTGAATTTGTCAGCCTGCCAAAATGGTGGCCAAAATCTACAACCATTACATTTGAAGACAGGAGCTCTTACTTCAACTGTTTGTGGCATGTAAGCCCATTTTTTAATACAAAAGAAGATAAACATCACAGTAGGGAGAAATCATAGAAGATCTGACAAGATGATGGTGAAAAACTGAAACCGGGCTGAGTATCTTTGACCTCTGCAAAAGACAAGATAGCTTTAAAGCACTACGAAGACAAGAAAAAGATTTGTATGTTTCTCATTCACTGCACTTGAACACTTCTCCCTTGTTCACATACTTACCCGGGAATTAGGATTGTCCAACACTACGAAAATAACAAAAATATTGGCATTCTGAGCTGCTTGAACTGCTGCTGTCACTCGTTCCTTGCCTTCCAAGAAAAGGCCTCTTCCGTCAGACACAATCAAAAGCAGCTGCGCTGTTTCTGATAACAAAGAACATTTTAAATTCCAGTAAGTTACAGTAATCCTTTTAAAAGGCAAACAGACTGTTTTGCTGTTAGTCCCGTGGGTATAATGGAAAAACCCACAGAGTATTCCTAAGGAAATTAAGTCTTCATCAAATAGAGTTCTGTGACCTAACATTAAGCTGCAGCTATGAGTGGGTCAAGAAAAGAGTTTTTCCCACTGTGTGATATCATTGAGAGTAACTGGGGGGGCAAAACCAAAACAGTCCATCAGTACCATAATCAAAGATGAAAGGCATGGAAAATACCTAATGAATTGAGTCATGGTCTTTCATGCCCGGTCCTTGTCTTACATGGCTGGTAAGTGCCTAGGAGTTAAATATTGGCTGAATTAGAAGAGCCCAGCCACTAGATGACTACCTCAGTGGAGCTGCTGCAATGAACCAGAGAGTCCAAATCTATTCCTCCAGAAGCGGGTACCTACAGGTGCATCCATATTAGCATTTCACTTTGGACTACGACTGTAATTTCGAAACATGCTTCCCCGCTGTCCCCACTTCCACAGGCTTGGCTTCCATCAGAGAGCAATCTTGGATTATTTTTGGAGGAAACTAAGCCAGAAGACAGGCTCCAGAGGCACAGTCAAGGCAGTCCAGCCGCTACAGGGCATTAAGCCCTTGGGACCAGACGAGCTAACCTGAAGTAAACCTCCTGAAACACACAGAGCACAGATGGTGGGGTTCCTCGGCACCAACCATTTTCTGGAGACATGTTACTTGACCCACGTTGCCCCCAGAGTCTGAGATATGTCCCTCTGAAGGGACATTCTAAGTTACGTATCTATAATCTTTTAATTACAAGGGAAGTAACAGCAATTACAGTTTGGAATGCAAGCACCTCTCTCATGTCCCCCCTACCACATCGTAATGGCTAGGGAGGGATGCAGAACGTTTCCTCCTTTTCTGCAGACAGGCCCAAATATGACAGGGCTTAGTCTCTTTACAAAAAGGGGTGAAGTTTCCTACTGCCTTTTCTCTTGCTGGCTCCCTGATTGCTGCTGCATCCCAGCCTAGTTCAACAGGACTAGGCGCTGCTCCCCCTCAGAATATTCTGACAGCCTGGCCACCCTGTGGCAAACCAGCTGTGGATTTTAAATCCCAGACTGTCCATTTCTTGGAGTACTTTAACAACAAGAACTTCTTAAAATATGGGTGCCACCATGACAAGATTTTAACTCGCACAAAGCAGCCTTTTAGGCTAACTGTGGGCCAGCTGTGAGGTAACAAGCCTTCCAGCTTTTCTGGGGAATCCAAGCAGCTCATGACCTACACTTGCACTACGCTAAAAGGCAGGTGAGGAGGCAAACGTGTATCCCCTTCAGAACAGCATGCTCCTGGATACCTACAGAAATCATAGAATCACAGAATCATCTAGGTTGGAAAAGACCTTTAAGATCATCAAGTCCAACCGTTAACCTAACCCTGCCATCCCACCACTAAATCATGGTCCTAAGCACCTCGTCTACCCATACTTTAAATACCTCCAGGGATGGGGACTCAACCACTTCCCTGGGCAGCCCATTCCAGTGCCCGACAACACTTCTGGTGAACAAATTTTTCCTAGGGTCCAACCTAAACCTGCCCTGTCGCAACTTGAGGCCATTGCCTCTCGTCCTAAGACAAGCTCCCAAGCAAGAACAGAAGTGCTTAGGGAGCCAAGGTGACTAGGAAGCTGGATAATGCTCTAAAGCAGACAGTGTCCAGGACTTAAAACACGATCTGGAAACATGACGTAAAGGGAGGCAGGTAAGGCATGCCTTTTTAAAAAGTCTTAAACGAAATTTCAGTGAATTATTGACAAATATGAAGTAGATGTCTTTTGGGTTTTGAGCTAAATTTCAACCAAATATTCCTTTTGACGAAGCAAAACCCAAAGCCCTAATGCAAGTGATGTCTCAGTGCTAGGAGTCTTTCTGGCAGGATATTGCTTCAGGACTGTAGTGAGTATTCTGCTGCCATGGCAACAAGCACAGTTACAAAAAACCCCAAAACCCCAACCCACAACTCACCCGGATTAATATTTTGAGACAACTGCTGCGCTG